TTCACCTAATATTTTTTCCCACTCAGACTAGTCTTTCGACTGATTAAAAAAAACCGTGAGGTTTAGAGACACCGAGCTACGATGACAATCCGGTATCACTGTCATTTTGAGACATTTCAAATACTCTATTTGCAAAATTGATGTTTTATATTTACTTAACTAGCCCCCTAAATCTCCTACCCCAGCCCCACCCCAGTCCCACCTTTGTCCCCCTCTAAGCCCCCTCCAAATATGTGGTTATTATGCATTACATAATAGCCACACATTTGGAGGGAGCTTAGAGGGGGGCAAAAGTAGGGCTAAGATAGGGGTTTAGGGGGTAGAACCATTAATTTTGTAAACAGAGCTCCGGAAGTGCCCCAAAATGGGCGAGCGTCATCCGTTGACACAGGATTTCAGTGTCAACGGAACCCCACCTTTAAAAGAATATTTTAAATATGAACCAATATATTATTTATCCTCAAAATAAAAAATGTATATTATTTATCCTCAAAATAAAAGTTGTATATTTTATTTCTAAAATAAAAGTTTACATCGTGACATTATGACATTGTTTAATGTCATCTGACTGTATTTCTTAATATTATTGGTATTGCACTCCAATTTAGGAGATAAAAAAGATGGAGCTCCTACTTTAATATTTTTTCCATGTTTTGCTCCCATTTTAGTCATTTTCTGTAGTTACTTTTGTGGTTTCTCAAAACAATATATTTATATGTAAATTTTCATTGATAATTTGATAAAGTTTTGCTGAAGTAATAGGGATAAAATAAATACGCTTATCACTTCTTATTTTGTAAAATTTTTTGTTTTGTTTTAAACGATGTAATTTGCACTTTTTTCAACGAGTTTGGAAATATAATCATTTCAAAAAATAAATTTTCATGGTCTTCCAAATTAAAAGAAAAAATTGAAACGGAGGGAGTAACATAGTTCGTATTCATCAGTATACTTCGCATAATAAACCTATATTATAAAAATTTAATATTTCAAAACTATAATTAAAATAAAAAGAATTGATATTAAACTTATATCACAATTCATAGCATTTCTTTTGTAACTTACCGTCAAAGTTTTAAAATGTTAATCATGATGAAAAGTGCAATCAGAATGAACAAAACGAGCAGAAAGAGTATATTTTTTATAAAATTAAAAATAAATGAGTATAATTAAGAAAAAAATGTATATTCATTTAACTTTTAATATTTGGAGTATAAAAAATCTACTTAAATAAGATTAGAACTTATAATATTGAAGTTATACCAAAAATCAAACTTACTCCGTATATATTTTTATTTTCAAAATAAAAATGGAATAAGTATCATATAATAATAACACTACTACCTTAGTCAAATATCCATTCAATAATTTTCCATGATCTTCATTAGGAGTGTCTCTTAACTATGTCTTATTTATGTAATAATGACACTACAACTACATTAATCAAATATTGTTACAATTATTACAATATTAGTTGCCTATAATAAGTCGGTTGCCTTATAACGATTCAATCTTTAAGCTCGGTCCTCCTCTCAAAAATATTATTGTCCCAGCTCTGTGCATTTCATTTCCTCTCTCACTTGTGAAAAGTCAGGTCTCTTTTCGTGTACAATTGATACACATGTTACCTTCCAATTATGCTCTCCCCTCTCCAAATTGATTTCAATTTGTTTGAGGTTGATATTTCAATAATTTTTTTTTGTTTGTTTGTTTATTTTTAATGATATTTGATAAATTAAAATATATTTGTCACTCTTTATTTTGTAAAATTTTTAGCGTAGCTTTTTATTATGTGAATTTGGTTAATTATTTTTATATTCCCTCCGCCCTAAAACGTTCTTCCCGTTTCTGTTTACGAGGTTTGACCGACTTTATTTTCAATTCAATTTATTTGATTGCAGGTGTAAAATTAAAAAAATAAAATTTATATATTTAAAAACTACATCAAAAGTTCTACAAAAAAGACGTGACAAGACTATAGTATTTTATCAAATACTCCGTAACTTATAAAAATAGGAAAGGAAAATTATTAAAGTTTAACTGTGTGAATAATAACTGGAAAGAACATTTTAGGACGAAAGGAGTACCAATTTTTAAATAAATTAATATAAAAAATGCAGGATTTTACCTCATAAATGATTTTACCACGGTGCTCCACTGCTCCCATCCTACCATTTCTCTTTTTTTTTTCTTTCCTTCTTTGCAATGGCCAAATTGAACCAAAAAAATTTTTTCCCCCAAATTTCAAATCTACTAACACCCTCTCTCTTCTATTTAAAAAAAAATTCCAACCAATTTTAAACACAATCACTTCTTCATAATCTCAATTATTATTATATTTTTTACAAAATTTATATTTCTACTCTCACCATGAATTTAAACAATCCTAATTTTCCGTATTTTTTAGAATCTCACTAACCGTTCTCCCTTCAATCCAAACGATCCGAACACCAGGAATATGTTCCATAATTGTTATCATTCAACTTCTGACGGATTTGAGTATTGGACTCCATCCCCGAACTTCTTCTCGGGTGGCCCTCAAGGTAGCGTTTTCGAACTTCATTCCGGATACTCATCCTCATTACATGCCGGAGACGCAATCTCCACAGGAAAGATACTCAACCCGAGGCGAAGTCCTTATGCTCTCGAATGACCAACTTTTTGGTGTTGAAAAAGGCTTCCATCGAAATAAAAAGAAATTGTCAAATGGCGACCGACATGGCATTTCTAAGCATGAAGTATGACGGTACGAACGAACGTGATCTTGCCTTGATCAAGATGATGAAAGACAAAATAAAAAAAAGAATATGCGGTCAAACGTGATCGTGATCAAGCCTAGATTTTTTTTATATTTCCTACGTAGTACTCCCTCCGTCCTAAAACTATCTTCCCGTTTATGTTTACGAGGTTTGACCAACTTTATTTTCAATTCAATTTATTTGATTGTAGGTGTCAAATTAAAAAATAAAATTTATATACTTAAAAACTACATCAAAAGTTTTACAAAACAAGAGGTGACAAGATTATATTATTTTATCAAATAACTAACGAAAATAGGTAAAGAAAGTGATTTAAGTTTGACCATGTGAATAGTAACTGGGAAGATAGTTTTAGGACGGAGGGAGTATGTTTTTTTCCATGTGTTTCCTTTCATGTATTTTTTTCTTAGTGCCTGTTTGGGAACAACGTTAGCAATTAGCGTTAGCGTTTTGAAAAAACTATCTACGGGCAGCGTTTAGCGTTAGCGTTTTCAAAGCGATCTGCACCGTTAAGATTTTATCCAAAACGCTAACGCTAATCTCTAACGCTATTCCCAAACAGGCCCTTAATTTATGTAATGCATGCGTGTATTTTTTTCTTTATTTTAACATGGCGATTTTTAGTTATTTGTCTTTTTTGTGAAATAATTTGTTTTAATATAAAAAAGGAAAAAAATTAATAACGAACAAAATTTAATTACAAAAAATTAATTTGTAAAATTAATTACGAAAAAAATAATTACAGAAAAACATAAGAATGAAAAAAATAATTTTATTATTTTATAAAAGTTATAATTTAATTTGAATAGAAATATGTAAGTATTTATAAAAAAATAAAATGTAAGCATTACAGTGGTCGCGAGGCATTACAGGTGTGAAGTGAGTGATATGGTCAGTGCAATCAATGCTGATATGGAGTGAGCGATGATGAAACATTACAGATGGTCTGATGGAATATTTGGATTGAGCATTTTTTCCAAATAATTTTGAAAATAAGGTTACCCTCCTTTATTTTTATTTTTTCTTATTTTTTTCCTTCTTTGGGGTCCAAAGTGCACCCGTCCATACCATTTTAATTTGATGATTATCCGCCTGCACAGCTGTACTGCATTATCTTTAATTCTCTTTAATTTGGGAGGGAGAAGTTCATTCATGCAATCTTTGTCCTCTCTCTCTCTCTCGTGTATAGTGCTGCGCTAAATGATTAATTTTACACAAAGTCTCGTTTTGACGGAGTATTTATATTGGGACCGAGTGTATTTTGCATTTTTTTCACCAAATGGTAAATAAAATTATTTTTTAAAAAATAGTACCTCCGTCCAATAATAAACTTCAAGTTACTATTAAGACTTTTCGATAACTTATGTTTGTTTGCATATTTTCATCAATTATTGGATAAGATAAAATATCTTTGTCATATCCGGTTTTGTAGAACTTTTGACGTAGTTTTGAGTAATGTAATTTTTACTTTTTTATGATATACTCTCTTTGTCCACCATAGATCTTCCCAGTCACTATTTACATGGTCAAACTTTACTCACTTTGTTTGCTTATTTTTACTATTCATTTCATAAAATAATATAGTCTTGTCACTTGTAATTTTGTAGAATTTTTCATGTACTTTTTTACTATATAATTTTTATTTTTAAATTTTATTCTTACAATCGAATAAATTAAATTAAAAATAAAGTCGGTCAAACCTCGTAACGCGTAATGAGAAGGTCTTTGGTGGACGGAGGGAGTACTAATTTATAAATAAAGTAATTTTAAAGAGATAGAATTTTACACGTTAGTTGAAATGAAAAATCTATTGTTGGATGGTGAGAGTAATGTTTTGCACGTTGTTTGAAATGCGTCAAAATGTTTGGGACTGAGAGATTTTATGTATGTGGAAGCATGCGGGGCAAGACAACGAGATGATGGGATAAGAGTCATCTATCTTACGAACTGCATATCGTAGTGCACGATATCATAGCATGATATGGGATTTTAATGACAAGGAAGTGAAGGACCCCACCGTATACAATTCTTTCGCATATACTCATCATCCTAAATTAGTTGTCTCACTTCAAACAATATACAAAATATCGTTTATTTTAAAATTATTTTATTTATAAATTGGTATAACAATAAAATTATTTTAAAAAATATGAGACTTTACACTTTATTTGAAAGTGAGAGAAAGAATGAGACATACGCAACAACTCAAATATAGATATTAAAAGTAACACATTTACATCCATTTATAGTCATGCATTTGAGAAGAGGATAGCAGCAGGTAGGAAATCACAACAGGACAAAGCTGATGAGACTATTTGTCTTCTCATGGAAATGTCGTGCGTGAACTCTTGATTTCATCACTATATATACACATCTATAGTTGCCGGAGTTGGGTGCATCGGAAGCTGTAGTAACCGGGAAATGGCCGCCCGGAGATTCACGTCGCTTCTCATTCCTTCATCCGCAACTTCTTCATCTCTTCTCCGTCTCCTCTCCCGCGGTATTCTGTCCATTTCTGCTTGCAATTGTTTTTTATTTGCGTGTTTTCCGCTGCGGAATCGATCGGATTGTTCTTGTCGTGGTGGTGAATCGTGACGGGTTTTTGAATTGTGACGGAATCCGAGTTTTGCATGTTGTTGGTGTTGCTGTGATTAAGATTGGATTTCTGTGTTTTTTAGGGTTGTGAATTGTGATTCTTCCATTTTAGTTGATTATTGTAAGAAATCAATCTGTTCTGTTTAGGTGAGACATCCAATTTCTGTCGAAGATTTAGGAAATTTGGCACAGCTGCTGCCATTGAGGATCCAATCAAGCCTCCTGTCTCTGTAGAGCACACACAACTCCTCATCAATGGACAGTTTGTTGATGCTGTTTCTGGTAAACTACTTCAATTCATCTGTATTGCTTGCTGTTCTGTATTTTCAATCTTAGTATCGACATGTTTTTAGGACTGATTGCAAAGAGCTGAATGTTTAAACAGGCAAAACTTTTCCTACCCTTGACCCCCGGACGGGTGAGGTGATTGCTCATGTTGCTGAAGGTGAAGGGGAAGATGTTAACCGAGCTGTCTCTGCTGCTCGGAAGGCTTTTGATGAAGGACCTTGGCCGAAAATGACTGCTTATGTAAAACCATTTCTCGGTCTTCTTTATAGTATTGCTTACCATTTCTTCATGGGTTCGCTTGGATCGGAAAAAATGCTAGGAATGGAAAACATTTTCCTTGGAAAGTTGTTTCCTTGTATTTTTTTCCCATGGAATGCCTTCATTGCCAATAGAGTTTTAATAGTCATTTTTGACAACATCTCTGCTTTGGGTAAATTTTGGACTAAATCAAAACTACACATTAAACATGGATTGCTTCTCAATCTCTATCAAGTGCATCAAATGTCTAACTGAAGCAATTTCTCTATTTTTAACAACTCTACTTTCTATTAGGGGTAGGGTCTGTGTACACAAACCCCCTCTCAAACCATACTTTTGTGGGGTTTTACTGGGGTGTTGTCTCTATTTTTGCAAATATAAGCTTTATTTTTCCTCACATCTTCTTTCCCTCGGAATTTCCTACAGCTTCTTTCACGTTTTCTGTCCCTAGAATTTTCCATGTTCCAATTTACCACAGCCTGTATGTTTTATCAGCGGAAAATAATCTTGTGTAAGCTACTACTTGGATTTGCAAATGCAGGAAAGAGCAAAAATAATGCTACGATGTGCTGATCTGATTGAGAAACATAACGATGAAATTGCAGCACTTGAGACTTGGGACAATGGAAAACCATTTCTACAATCTGCTACAACTGAAGTTCCTATGCTTGTACGCCTAATCCGCTATTATGCTGGTATGACAATTTAAAGAGAATATATTGGTATCTGTTTCATTATAAGCCGATGTTTTAAGAATTTGATGGTTTCCTAGACTCTTTTTGGTGGCCTAATCGGCAGCAGAAGTAGCCCTTTCAAAAAAATCCATCTCGGCTAAAAACCATTTCCAAATGGACTTATAATTTTTATATTATTTGCAGGATGGGCTGATAAAATTCATGGTATGACTGTCCCTGCTGACGGACCATACCATGTTCAGACTTTGCATGAGCCAATTGGTGTTGCCGGGCAAATTATCCCTTGGAACTTTCCTCTTCTCATGTTTGCTTGGAAGGTTGGGCCAGCATTAGCTTGCGGAAACACCATTGTTCTGAAGACAGCTGAAAAGACTCCATTGTCTGCTCTATTTGTTGCAAAGCTATTCCATGAGGTAGTTTTTTTCTAACATCCATTTATATCTGCCTTTTTTGTTCTAATTTTTTAGGTCCCACCTAGTGTGATTGTGAGTTGCTAGTTTCTTTAACAGCTAAAACCAGATAGAGAAAACCCGAAAAACTGGCTTCAGTTTTCAAAAGTGACATGTATTATTATGAGTATAAATGTTTTCTATACCTAGGTTGCCTAACATAGCGTTATGCTCTCTACTGCAGGCTGGACTACCCCCGGGTGTTCTTAATGTCGTGTCTGGTTTTGGTACAACGGCTGGTGCTGCACTCTGCAGTCACATGGACGTGGACAAGGTCATTTGAATGCTTTCCCTTTAGTTGTCTTTCAATCTTATCAGGATATATGAAATTATAATTTACCTCCAAGCCTGCAAAACATAAATTTCAATCATAAGTAATGCCTACAATTTGACATGGATGAAGTATAATTTACCCCATGCCTGCAAAATACGGAGTATAATTTAATCAAATGCATTTTGTTTAATTTTCTGCGTGAAAACCAATTAGGGCCTACACTTTGACATGCAGGAAATACTCAACTACTTATTTCATTTTTTCTACTACTGCAGCTTGCATTCACAGGTTCAACAGCAACGGGGAAGGTTGTTCTTGAATTAGCTGCTAGAAGCAATCTTAAACCTGTGACATTGGAACTTGGTGGAAAATCCCCTTTTATTGTTTGCGAGGGTGCTGATGTGGATAAGGCGGTTGAGCTAGCCCACACGGCTTTGTTCTTCAACCAGGTATTTCCTAATCTTTAATTGTCCGTTTGGATTTCGAGGGCTATGTTTCAATCACAAGAATGCTGGGGAAATGAAACAAAATGAAAAAGGAGCTTTGTTATGTTTGGTTCTACCTCAAACTAGGTGAAGACAAAATGAAATATGTTTATGCATTTACACACACACACACTCCATCCGTCCCACCTTCCCATAAAAACCTTCTTGTTTTGACTTTTGTTGTCAAACATTGACACTCTTTGATTACAAATTACACATAATCTAGATAAATAAATGTTTATAAAAATTTAATACATCAAAATTATAACCTAAGACAAACCCAATTATATTGAATTTACATTACAATGGAATGTTCTTTTTACACAATTTATGGTAAAAAATTGAAACATGAACGTTTTTCTTGTCAAATAATGTGATTGTTTGACTTCTTGCAGTAAACTACTTTCGACCTTTGACTTTTAATTAAATTAAAATTATATGGTATATTAATTAGGCAAAAGAATATTTTGAAAATATTTTCTAAAATAAATCTTATAAGATTATTTTCATTTGAATATTCAATATCCATTTTATTTAATTAATGGTCAAAGTTTGTTAGTTTTTACAACAAAAAGTCAAAACTGAAGAAATATTTTGAATTTGAAACAATGTTTTATTTTTCATCCAAATTCATTAGATACTTCCTTTGATTTTTTCTTTCCTTCCAAACTTATCATTTACTATGTTTACAATTTTTTTTCCCTGGCATTTTTCCATCCAAATTTATCAAATGTACCCGTGAAACACTAGGGAATGAAAAAGTTCAGAACATATGGAGCAAAATTTGAAACAAACAAGATAAGGGAGGAAATAAAAGATAAATTAGAACAATAAATTTATTTTAGATATTTGTTCAATCTCATTTTATTTATCTCTATTTAGCACTAAGAAATGTAAGTATATGCATAAAAAGGAATTATATTTCAATGAGAAGAAACTAAAGGCAGAAGTAGATAGGAAGAGTCTTTAATCAAAATTAATCAAGCATTAAAAAAATTCCTTCATATTTGTTTCCCTTTCCCAACCATTTTCCGCATTCTAAACATACCCAATGTAAAGAGTAGAAGTATTTGTTGAAGATATCGATAAGGTTCTTTTTAAAAAGTTTTCTGGTTTTAGGGACAATGTTGTTGTGCTGGATCTCGGACATATGTCCATGAGAGTCTCTATGATGAATTTGTGGAGAAAGCAAAGGCACGTGCTATGAAGCGCACGGTTGGTGATCCATTCCATGAAGGCACAGAACAAGGTCCTCAGGTATAATGAATTTTTAGCTTTGTTATCAACTTTTAGCCATCTTCATTCTTTTGCACCTTTTCGGTATGTAAAAGAAAAGCTTGCATATAACAGGTTGATTCAGAACAGTTTGAAAAGATCCTGAAGTATATTAAATCAGGCGTTGCTAGTGGAGCTACCCTTGAAACAGGAGGCGAAAGGCATGGAACCTTGGGCTACTATATTAAGCCAACAGTTTTCTCCAATGTTACGGTAGGCTGTTATATACTCTTATTTCCCGAGTTTTCAGCACGAATGTCTATTATTATTATAGGAAAAATATACACCGTGCCAAGTCAAAATGGTGCCGTGCCCATTATGGAGTTGTAGCATTTTGCTCTCATAGTGGGACAACATGGAAGGTTGCAAATTTTTAAGGTCTCAGGAGACCATAAAAGTGCTAGGGAAAGAGAGAAAACAGGGAAGAACATGGAGGGGAGTTTTGAAAGGAAGATGTGTGGAAAAAATTATAAAAACCAATTAAACTCAATAAACCAAGTTTAGACTTTTGTTCGAAGTCATTTTTGTCTATATATTTCTATTATATAACTATAAAGACTAAAATTGTAAATATGCATTAAAAACATTAACAATATATTGTCAAGTTTGATTTTCTTCATAACATTTAGATAAAACCAAGCATTTAAAACTACAGAGTATTTTCATTAGCATTTTTTCCAGTTAGCTACCAATTTTTGGAAGTGCTCCAAACATAGCAAAAAAGACTATTTTGGCATCATGCTCAATGGCATCATGTTCTTTTAGGAGTATATTATTATCATTTGTATTAACAGATTTCTATTTTCAGGATAATATGCTGATAGCAAAGGATGAGATCTTCGGTCCAGTGCAATCGATCTTGAAATTCAAGTACATTTAGACCCCAAAAACGGCACTCATCTCTAATAGAAATGATCCTAAAAATCCCAATTTTCTCATTATGGTTATTGTTTATGCATCTTGCAGGGATACCGACGAAGTGATTCGGAGGGCAAATGCGTCCAAGTACGGTCTCGCAGCTGGGGTTTTCACACAAAACATTGACACAGCAAACACACTGGCGCGGGCACTGAGGGTTGGGACCGTATGGGTAAATTGCTTTGATATCTTTGACGCTGCAATTCCTTTCGGTGGGTATAAGATGAGTGGGCACGGAAGGGAGAAGGGAGAGTACAGTCTCAAGAACTACTTGCAGGTCAAGGCTTTTGTCACCGCATTGAAGAACCCGGCTTGGTTATGACCATCCCCCCTGCCTAAATTATATCAATGGCTATTTTAACAACAACAATGATGATGATGATGATGAACCCTAGCTTTGATGCTTCAATAAAGCTTGAAATTTCAAGTTTATTCGGTAAATTCGTTCGCTTTTAGTGTTTTTTTAAGCTTGCATTCGTCGGTTTGGAGTTGCATTGGACACACAAGGATTCTTCAGTATGTGCAACAATGCAGAAGGAATAAAACTTGTATATGCTTTTTAATAAAGTTCTATAAAATTCAAAGCTTTGATGTCTTTTGTATAACAAAAGCAGACTAGCGTTGAAATATGATGGTTTCTCATAGAGTAGTATTTTTTTAGTGTAAATTTTACTCCCTTTGTACCAAATTAAATTGTTTGTTTACTATTTGCAAGATTAAATATTATTCACTTTTTTCCCCTATTTTTGTTAGTTACTCCCTCCGTCCTAATTCTTTCTTCCCAGTTTGACTTTTCCCCATTTTTAATTTTTGGCTTTGACTTCAAATTTTACCCTCCTTAAAAAAGATTTTTTGAAATTTTTTTTTACAATCATTCAAAATATAGAGTTAAAAGATAACTGGTGTAAATACATGAGGGTATTAATGTCATTTGTCATCTTTTTTTTTCTAATGGGAAGGTAGTTTTAGGACGGAGAAAAAGGAGAAGTGGGAAGAAAGTTTTAGGACGGAGGGAGTATTTGATAAAATTATTATGGCCATTTCATTATTAGATCTTTTGATGTACTCCCTCTGTCCTATAATGTTCTTCTCGTTTCTGTTTACGAAGTTTGATTAACTTTATTTTCAAAGGAGAAACCAAACTAGGACTAAAACATTGAAAATATATCAAAATAGGACTTTTATGTTTTTATTACTGAAATAGGACTTACATTACCAAACATGGTCACATACATTACCAAAAAAGTATAATAATTTGCACATGTACACTGCCACATTACCACAATGCAAAGTCACATTACCACAGTGTAAAGTCTTATTTCGGGGAAAAAAACATGAAAGTCCTATTTTGGTACTTTTTTCTATGTTTTAGTCCTATTTAGGATGATTTTTATATTTTCAATTTAATTTATTTGATTGTAGGTGTAAATTTAAAAAATAAAATTTATATATTTAAAAACTACTCCCTCCGTCCCATAAAGTGTTACCCATTTTGACTAAAGTTGAAAATAAGGAAGGGATAACTTTGTGTTGACTTTTCAAAAATACCCCTGATATGATGGGTAAACGTAGGATGTGATGTGTAGATTATTAGAAAAAAGGTATGATGTGATAGGTAGGGTTTGAAAAAGTAATGGGTAAAAGTGGTTTTTTAATAGAAATGGGTAAGGGATTGTGAGACATAATTTTTTTGAAACGTATAAATCTTTTTGGAACGGAGGGAGTACATCAAAAGTTTTACAAAGCAAGTGATGACAAGACTATATTATTTTATCAAATACCTAATGAAAATAGGTAAAGAAGGCGATTAAAGTTTGACAATGTGAGTAGTTTTTAAAAATGTATTTTTATTTTTTAATTCTACACTGTTTTTCTTATCAAATGATTTGAAAATAATTTTATTCAAACATTGTAAACCAAAACATACAATTTAAAATGTGACGGAGAGGTACATGAATGTAATTCCAAAATCTTCACAAAAAAATTATCGAAGTGCAAAACGCACTTGTCGCGTGCCTTGTTCCAAAACCGTCTCCCCTTATATAATTCAGTTTTCCATTTTCACCATCTTCACCATTTCAAATAGGAAAAATTATCTCAAATAATCCCACATTTTAGTGTTTTTTCAAAAATAATCCTACTTTTCACTCTCACCAAAAATAATACCACCTTCCCGCATATGTGCAAGTTTTGGGTCGCCGTTAAAAAACTAACGGTCACTTAACGGAAATTTTGAAAAATGCCCGTTTTTCGCAAATAAATGAAAGGTGAGATTATTTTAGGTAAATTCTTCCTTTTTCGTTTTTTAATTTCTTTAAATGTATTTTTATTTTATTTTTTTGGAGAAAATACCAAATTTAAGTCTTTTTAGAGTGAAACTAATTGTTTTTTTTCAATAACCAATAATATGGTGTAATAATTAGAAATAAAATTATTCTACACAATAGAGCTAATTTATTAACTTCATAACTAACTACTCCTTCCGTTTGGAAAAAGTGTTCCTCTTTTACTATATGTAAAAATAAGGAAGTACTCCGTATTAAATTGTAGTGGACTTCCAATTTTGCCTTTGATGTGATAGGTAAAAGTAAGATGTGATGGATAGATTATTAGAGATAAAGTATGATGTGATAGGTAGGGTATGAAAAAGTAAGGGTAAAAGTGGTTTTTTAATAGAAAGTGGAAGTGTTTTGTTGGAAGGGAAAAAATGAAAGAGGAAGTGTTTTTGATAACGAATGGAGTACATTTTTTTGTAAGTTGCATTTATTGTATTTTTCTTGAGCTGCACTTCAAATTATTTTTTGATACTACATTATTATTATTTCTTAAAAAAATGGCACTACAAAACTTATGAATATTTTTCGGTAGTTCTATATAAATATTTTTTGTGAAACAACATTACAATAGTTGTGAAAATAACACAACAATTTTTTTCTCTAAAATAGAACTTTTATTTTTATAACTCACTACATTTTCTGATGTATTGGAATTTTTCCATGAACACTCTGAAATATTTATTGATAATCTTATATTGCAATAAAATTTTCTTTCTAAAATGGAACTACCCAATTTGTGTTTTTTTTAATAATTCAATACAAATTTTTCCCCAAAATAGTAATTCAAAAGTTGTGAAAATGACACAATATTTTTTTTCTCCGAAACGGAACCCATAAATTTTATAAATCACTACAATTTTTTTATTGTAATTTCTTTCTTGATCGATACTCTGAATTATTTTTGATAATTTAATACTATATTTTTCCCAAAACAATTAACAAAATTTGTTAATCGTTAGACAAATCTCTAACAAGAGTGTATTGTTATATTTTTAAAAATATTAATTTTAAATTCAAAACTAAAAGAGTAAAAAGTAAATTTTTCTAAAATAATCACACCTTTCATTTATTTGCAAAAAACAGGCATTTTCAAAAACTTCCGTTAAGTGACCGTTAGTTTTTTAATGGTGACCCAAAACTCGCACACATGCGAAAAGATGAGATTATTTCCGATAACAGTGAAAAGTGAGATTATTTTTGAAAGATCGCGAAAAGGTGAGATAAATTTTCCTTCCAAATATTAGTAGACTACTACCATCTCTTCACCATCCCAAAATACCCAAATTGCGACACTATTTAATAATCAGCATTCTACACCATTCATCAAGTATTGCCAGAGGTAATGTAAAATTATTTTTATCTTTTGGGGTTTGAAATGTTTTTTTAAAAAAATAAATGTACTCCCTCCGGGATGGAAATACTTTCTTGTTGCATGTTACTTAATTCGACTAAATTTATTTGTAATTCAATTTTTATGAAAATTAGAGTAAATTAAATAAAACTATTCTATATATTAAAAAGTTTCATCAATATTTTTATAGAATAAGAAGTAACAAGATTATGATATTATCAAATAAGTAATAAAAATAGGAAAAGGAGTTATCAAAATTTAAGGTGTATAGTGAGCAAGAAATTTTTTCTTTGTAGGTAGGACTAAGGAGTTTAATATGTTGGAGTAATTAGACATTTTTGAGGTTTAATAGAGTATAAAAATATTTTCTAGACCTACGATCGAGCTTTTAATTAAGTTAATTTCTTGAAATAAAACCAAAACCAAAAAATATTGCATTCTCAAATGCACATCTTGACAACATTGAAAATATCTTTTCCAAGTTGAAATAATGCATTTTAAAAATTATACAACCTAAATCCTACTACCTCCGTCCCATTTTATTTTCGGTTTACGATGTTTGATTGAAATTATTTTCAAACCATTTTATATAACAAATGGTATAAAATTAAAAAATAAAAATTACATATTAAAAAAATACATCAAAAGATCTACAAAATTAGTAGTGACAATAATATTTTATTTTATCAAATTGCTAACGAAAAGAAAGAAAGTGAATAAAATTTGAGCCTGTGAATAATGAACATACATTATAATTTGGGGCGGAGGGAGTAAAATATTTGACAATTGGCAATGGAGAAATGAGAAACTCTTTGCAAGCACTTTTAACGGTGACATCAAGGGTAAGATATTTTTTTTCTCAAGCATTTAATGCCAATAGGTGAAACATGCTTGGGATGTGAATGCATTCTATAAAAACACTTATGGAAGAGTCTTACATGAGATTGAAAGGAGGATCACTTGAACGTTTACTTCGCGTAAATTTGTTGAATGGCATGGAGGATTTACAGCCAATTTAGGGATCACTTCAAACAACCATACCAAAATAATGGCAACATGAGAAGGCATATCTAGGCGGGAACCAGTCGAGAATCAATTCTGATTCACAAGTGATGGCAAAATGGTTCGAGGATGGCATTCGAGCTCGTATTAAAGCCCTTTTCTTTGGGGTGGGTGTGAGGGTGGGGGGGAGGGGTCATGAATAAAGAGAATAGCACAAGTACTAGTCTATTAGAAAACACAGACGCCAGTCAATGAACAAAGCAAAAAACAATTTGAGGTGGTAGTTCTATGATTAAAAACCACAAGAAAATTGAGCTCCCCAGATTGAGAATCAAAGCAAAACAGACATAATCTTAGTAATAAAGAAGATCTAAAGCTCACACCTCGAGCTTTTCACCAGCAGCCTCTTCTAGAGCAATATATTTGGTCGTGGGGACAGCCAAGATATCGCTGAACTCCTCGAATGGGGACTTCATGAACTTGGTCTGAGCCCAGAAATCTGGCGTGAGGAATCCGTATGTCTTAGAAAGACAATCAAAAGTAGCCTGCAAAAAAACAAAAAAAACGATAAACATAAAGTACGCAAAAGGATAAACTGTGGACAAATCTGGCAACAATCAAAAGGAAATCTTAAGGAAGGCAAGTAAATACACTTCAACACTAAAAGTTAAATTGATAAGTAAACATGCTCTGCATGTTAGTTAGCAAGTTTGTACTTGGTTGCAGTAAGATAAGTTAAAATGGACAAACCATATTACAAGACCATTATTATTATTAGATACAATAAGCAACAAACACATTGGGATGCTCAGTGCAAATTTGCTGACCAGATAAACATGAACTTGGTAGGCCTGCTTGATTGATTGATAATCAGGTAACTTTAAAAAAAGTGTTGCTAAATCCATCCCTTGATGGCCATATCCACATCTTTCGCCCAATTTTGCTAAATCTAGACCCATTAATATAACTTTGATATGGGTGTGGAGGCACATTAAAAATGTATGTACTTTTTGGCAAGAGAATGAAATATCTACACTTGACTCTGGGTTTTTACTTGACAATTTATGAGGAACACATTTTATAATGGTATATTTTAAAATGATAATTCAATAACTTATGGATTTCCAGGGAATATTTAACAAGCATAAACAATGCAATTACCAAACGGTCTATAACCATTGAAAATAGACAGCCAGAAAATACATGCCAAAGCAATAACCAGCAACCCATTTAATTCTATATATGATTGTTTTGTATATATAATTACTATTATTATTATTTTCACAAACAAATTGATAAAAGAATCGCCTATTTAATTATAGAGCATAATGGAGATTCAAAACACATGTAATGCAAAAAGATACAAATACCTTGACAAAATTTCCAAGAGTTTTTGTGGATCCGCGGGATGATGTGAAGACATCTTCAATACCAGCGAACTGCAGGACCTTCTTTGGAACCCTAGCCGCCACAATACCGGCACCTCGCGGCGCTGGAACCATCCGGACGGTAACGGATCCACACTTTCCGGTGACCTTGCAGGGAACAGTGTGAGGCTTTCCGATCTTGTTTCCCCAGTATCCTCTCCTCACGGGAATCAGAGAAAGCTTCGCGGCAATGATGGCGCCGCGAATTGCAGTGGCGACTTCCTTGGAGCACTTGACGCCGAGACCTACGTGACCATTTCCATCGCCGACGACGACAAAAGCCTTGAACCGGGTCCTCTGACCAGCCCGGGTCTGCTTCTGAACCGGCATGATCTTCATCACTTCGTCCTTCAAGGATGGGCCGATGAGGGTATCAACAATCTGATACTCCTTGATGGGGAGCGAATGAAGGTAGATCTGCTCCAGCGAATTGATCCTTCCGTCCTTCACCAGCCGGCCGAGCTTTGTACACGGAACCCATTTCTCCTCCTCCGTAGCACGGCGGCGACGGCCACGTCCACGATCTCCTCGAGGTCCGCGATCGCCACGGCCTCCCCGCCTTTCTCCTCCGAAGCCGCGTCCGAAACTTCCTCTATCCGCCATGACTCTCTGAGCTCACGTTCTCCTTCGCCTGCACAGGGAGTGTGAACTAGGGTTTGGGGGTGAACGCCATGTCTAGGCTGAGCAATTATACGTTTTTGACATGGGCCTTCCGTCCTTAGATAAATTTGTGGGAGCCCAACAAACAAATATCATGTGGCTATCTCGATCAACCTAACGTTTTGGGCCTAAATAATATTCCATTCATCTCACTTTCGATAAATTTTATTTATACATTTTCCACGTTCAACAATATCTTTTATTGTTTTAACTTGGTATGGAGATAAAGAAATATTAAAAATTATAAAGTCTTTTTCTCGATGTAATGGAATGAAGATAATAGTATACATGAAAAGTGTGAGTATAATGACACATTTATTAAAAGTTTTTTACTAAAATAAAAAACATAAAATATAATTGTGGACTACCCAAAAAAAGTGAGAAAAAAATTGATGGACATAGCAAGTTTATGTTATCAGTAATCATTAGATAAAATAAATATGCATGCCACTACTTATTTTTATCACTTTTGATATACTTTTAAATATATAAGTTGTAATTTTTATATTATAATATCAACTCAAAATTAAAATTATGTTTAAAATAGATAAAATCTTACTTATTATGTGAAACAAGGCAACTAATTTGGGATGGAAAAAAATAAATTCTTTGTTCCTTTTTTTTATTCGTCTAACTATTTTTGTTATATACTAAGGGTACTATATATCTTGTGATATTAATATGGTTCAATTTATTCTTACTTTATCAGGCTATCTTCATCCCAAATTGAGCTATCTTCTTCGATTATTCCCTACTCAATACGGAATACGATTTTTGAATGACAATATTTTTAGGTCAAATTACTTTTAAATTGGCGTGAAATTTAAATAAAAGTTCTACAAATCAGAATGTGACATGACTATAACAAAAGTTTCAAGAAACAAGCAACGACACGCCGACACATTATATAAAAAATAACTAGAAAAAAAATAGAAAATTACTCTCGAGTACTCTTGATTTTTCGGTAATGACTCTTAAGTCTTAAGTCCAATTATCTAAAATATACTCAAGTGTATCGTCAATTTTTTGGCAAGAACTCTCAAGTCCCACATTTTGCGAAATATACTTCGAGATGCTTAAAATTTGTGATAATATACTTCGAGGGTACATTCCACCCATTTAGGCATTATGATTAAAAGTTTAACTTTGTGAAATTGAAAGATTTTATTTAAATTTAATAAAATAATGATTATTAACTAAAATTTAGTATTCGTCAAAGTATCAAAACTTTTAATCTTAACGGTCAAATAGATAGAATATGCCCAAAGTGTACATTACTACTACTAATTTTAAGGACTCCCGTAATATATTTCAGATAATGTAAGACCTGAAAGTTCTTACCAGAAATTTGAGAGTATCCGAGAGTATATTTTAAATAATGGACTTGAGAATCATTACCAGAAATTGAGAGTACCTGGAGTAATTTTTTGTAGAAAAAAATATGCATTACCGCAAAACGTATATGCGCATGATATCCATACCCATATCTTCACGTTAAAAGCATTCTCATCTGAACGGCAATATGTGTGTGTGCGCGAGTATGAGAGAGACTAGTTGTCATGTTATCGTACTCCATAATACAGAGTACTTAAATTTAGGATATTTTTAGAAAGTGGACAAACGGAGTAACGTTTAATATAATTAAGCCAAGAATCGGAAACAGAAGCAGTCGGTAGCAAAGGTGTATGAAATTATACTGGAACTTGTTGCAATGCTGCATGAAACTGGGAAGGAACCCGTAGCAATGGGGCCTGTATGTCCCCGGGCTTACCAAGCTGACCACAAGCAGCCATTTGATCGTCACCTCTGCTTGGCCTTAGAAAAACAACACAACCTGCTTCAGCTAGAATATTTCGGAACTCAATAATCTTCTCCTCCTTCGTTGGTTTAAACAGAGACCCAGAATGAGGGTTGAAAGTTATGAGGTTAATTTTGCAAGGAATGCCCTCAACCAGATCAATTAGCCTCTTTGCATCCTCAATACTGAAAAAGAAAGAAAAAAAGAAAACATGACAGCAAATGAGATTTGGAAAAGAGAAGTTGTGTAGTCTTGCTTTGAGTCTTACAATGACAAGAAACAATTAACCATTTTATCATTGCCCTTAGGGCATGTTTGGTTCACGGAATGTAAGATTCCCTTACGTAATAGGATTTGCTCTTGGAACACAATACAAGCGTGTGAGAATGTAGAATTAGCTTGAGATGTTTAGTTCATAGAATGTGATATCACTTGCGTTGTTAATTGTGTAGGGAGGGTTGGGAATTGGGATGGTCTAGTACATTACGGAGTACCCTAACATTACCTGATTTTCCTATGCGAAGATAATCTCGAAGTAACGCACTGGTAATATGAAAACATGAACTAAACAATACCAAACAATACTATGGTAATATAACAACCTGGTTATTTTTTACCATGCATTACCATGGAGATATTGTTCACCGTATTGAAGCGGCTTGGATGAAGTGGAAGCTTGCTTCAGGTATCTTGTGGTAAGAAGATATCAACGAAATCGAAAGAGAAATTTTACCAGAAAGTGGTCAAACCGGCTATGTCGGTTATGTTGTATGGAGAAGAGTACCGGTTGATAAAGAAAGTTCACGTTCAGAAGCTCTCAGTTACAGAGTAGATGAAGAAAAGAATGTCCGAAATGAAGATATTGGGGGAAGGTGAGAATGGTCTTTGTAGAGGAAAAGATGCGTGAAACTAGACTGAGATGTTCTGGGCATGTGCTAGGAAGTATGAAAGATGGGAGAAGCTAGAGGTAAGGAATATGAGGGGTTAAGAGACCTAGCATGAGTTTTAGCGAGATGATTAGACATGACTTACGACTTCATGAACTAACTGAAGATATCTGGAGGCCTAGGAAAAGGTAGGGTAGAGTTTGGGTAGTGCGCATCCATTGTGTAGGACTTATTACCTTTGTTGTATCTACGTATGTGTTTGCATTGTGCTTCTCTCCTTTATATTTTCTATGTTTCCTTGTTTTTACTTGTGATCCTTTTGTTTTGAGTTGGGAGTCTCTTGAAAACATCTTTGAGGTAAGGTCAGCGTACATTCACCCTCTCTAGACCCCTCTGTGGGATTTTACTATGTTTCTTTTTAGTATTGTTGTTGTATTGCTATAGCGAATTTAAGACTACTTGGTGGGGGTTATTTGGTTGAAATTGCAAAACCGGTTGAATTTTCGAAGAGAAAAAGTGCTGGGTAATTTTTATTCAGTCAAACAAGTCTTGCACTACCTCTTGTCTCCTTACTCCCACTCTTCCATACTTGAGTCCTTTTTTTCCCAGTTCAAGAAAATGTAAAATTCTTGGTTGAGATTTATGCACAAGAGAACTATGAACCAAACACTTCTTTCCTTAAAGGGACTGGAGACTTAACTTTGAGACATCTATAAAAGGAAAGTCAGAACTTAAATATGGGACATGGAGAAAAATAAGCAGATAAGAGGGACCAAATGATGCTCAAAGTCTCAGATGGACAAATGACAAATTGACAAGTAGCCATCTTATCTTTTACCTTTGGAGTAAAAGGTTGTTCCAAACACACTACGTGCCTAGTACCCAATCAGGGTCAGGTGGATTGTGCAGATTATAGACTGTGGATCAGACGTGCTATTCCGTAGGAAATAAAAAAAGAAAAACGTAGACGGCCAATTAGAGTGCCTGGGAATAGATTAATTATAAGAAAAGAGAGAACCAATTGGGTTGACAGAATTATTATGTGTTTTTGGTTGAGTAAAGAAGTACTATTGTTCAAGGCTTCATGGTGAAATGCACTTAAAAAGAAAAAATGAGCACCTGTCATTAACGCCGGCAAGCATGACATATTCAAACAGAACTTTGTAGTTGTGTTTTGCACGAAGCTCCTCTTTAAGAGTCCCAAGAAGTAACTTCAAGTTATATTTGCGGTTGATTGGCATGATCCAATTTCTAACCTGTAATGCTTTCACGAATGATGATAATACAACTTGTGTACCGCTTTTATTTGCATCATATTTCTTCATGGTGGCCTCTCAAAAAAAGAATATACTTGCCTCATCAGTTGTAGCATTCAGGCTGACTGCTAAAGCACAATTAGATTCATGAAGAAAACGCTTTAGCTGGGGTACAAGTCCGCTGGTTGAGATGGTCACCTTGCGAGGACTGAAATGAAGCCCTTGTTCATCAACCAATATGTCTGCAGCTCTTATCACATTATCAGTGTTGTGGAGTGGCTCCCCCATCCCCTATATAATCATCATTCACTAACTGTTACTTGAAAAATGAAATGTACTCTGTAACGCAAAGCCTTAATCCCTGTGATCCAAAAAATGACAAAATATGCCGTAGTCTAGCATAATTTTAGTGGCAAATTCTTTGGTGGTCCTTTGGTGCATACTCATTTTATGGACCTTGATACATAAAAGAATTAAACTATGTGTGCCCCAAAAATTATACCCCACTTTGTACCCCGAAAACATGCACAAACATTTTGTGCTAATGTAATGCTAGTGTGATGGTTTACAATGACACAAAATGTCAGTGCAATTTTTTTTAATGAACTAGCATTTGTGCCAGTGTGAACTGTTAAAATGCTGGTGCATTCCTTTGAGGTACAATTTGGGTACACTTCTTGGTGTACTCCTAGCATGGTTGTACAAAAAATGGTTGTATGTATTGGACCTTGTAAAAAGAAAGAGATCCACATATAAGTCCATGAAAAATTTGTGAGAAGGTCCACATTAAATGTGGACCTTAGGACCACTATAGAATAACTCTAATTTAGCTTGCAAAATTTGGGGTATGAATTATTGAGAGAAATGTGGAGAACATGTAGCGCAAATCCAATATGAATTGAGATGAATCATATTCATTAATGGTTAATGAAACACTCCCAATGTTGCACAATGATTCGTTAAGGAATAACCGCACAAATTAAGAAACTAATTAAATATCCTAGAATCTTGCAAGAACGTGGTGATCTGCTGCCCAAAAAGAGTTTTCTTCTAAATTTAGGACTCTA